TAAGTATAGTTATTAGCATCCTGTGTTTGTACTTATGAAGCAATTTTTTAAGTTAAAGCTTCAAAGTCATGGTTAGAATTGATTCTTGGTGCAGGTTTTATTTAAACACTAATATATTCTATGATGAATCACTGTCATTATTGTATACATTGGACTAATATTCTCATCCTTGTTTTTATCTTGCTTACACAGATTTAGAATCACCAATGAGAGAAAGGTAAATAGAGATAGAGAAAGAAAGGGAGGAAGAGAAAAAAACGGATATATCTGAGAAAGGCTGAATAAATGTAGTAATGACAAGAGTAAAGATGAATAGAATAATAATATGTAAGTATCTGCAAGTTCTGCATGTGTCTTCTATGTTTACATGGAGTAAATAAAAACCAACAGTGACTGCACTTTGCCAAAGTAAGTGAAAACTAGGAAATACATTTTTATTTTATTCCAAACATTCACATTTGATGAAAAGAAATGATTTATTTTAAATAGCACAGCTCATGAGATTCAAAATGGTATGGAATACAGTTAAGTTAGAAGTGGCCTAACTGCTTAGGCTGTATTGTGAATAAATTCAATCTAGTTTGACAGGATAATTGTGAGTGTATAGATTTTGTTGTTTCAGCAATAATTTGTGTGTGCACACAAAATGTACAAAGCAGAATGTGTCCATTTGTATACTTGGAACGGGATGTGTACCAAGAGATATTGTTCAAGAGTAAAATGTTCAATTTCCTGAAACTTTTAAAATCTAGACCAGGTGTAACACATTTATTAATTGAGGAATGTCATTATATAATAAATGATTTACATGAAAAGCAATCTCAAACCACTGCTACAGGTTATTTTCTTGTAATTTCAAAAGGAAACCAACTGTAAGATTTTCATGATATTAATAATGTAGCTTGAATCACAAATAGTTATAGCTTGATAACTTTTAAGAAAGCTGATTGAATTTTTTTTCATGGCAGCTCTATTATGACATTGGGCTGAGAGCTATTTTCAGCAATTATAACATGACTGAATCTTTGACATGGATGACTATGAGTATAACTTTTTGTTGCTACTTTCTTAGGGAGAGCGGTCTGCCCAAGTGTTCATTCATCTATACTTTTGATTGGCTCTTATGGGACAGTGATTCTCTCACCCATTCTATTCTCTATCAAGAATCATGACATGTCAGTGATGAGTTATTTGGTAAGTAGAGTGTAAAAAGTAGGGTCTAATTTTTCTCATAAACCCTGGTGTCAAGTGAATGTAGTGTCAACCAAAATTCAAATTCAATACTTTTTCCCATGTTATGACAATGTCCACTTCCAAATGATCAGCTCAACACATAAGTAATGTTTATAATCTAATTAATAGCAATAAATTGAATATTTTTGCTATTCTAAAATGCCTTAATGATCAGCTGAAAACGAAATTAATATAAAAATTTAATAACAATAAACTGAATAGTATCTTTTTTTTTATAATGCTTAAATGACCAGACCATCCCACAAGTAATGCCTAAAATCAAATAGTAATAAAATGAATGATAATTTTACTATTCTAAAATACCTAAATGAACAGCCTATACTACAGTTAATGTTTAAAATTTAATAGCAATAAATTGAATGTTTGTTATTCTTAAATACCTAAGTGATCTGCCCATTCCATAATTAATGTCTAATATCTAATAGTAATAAATAAATTGAAGAATATTATTGCTATTTTAAAATGCATAAATGAACATTCCATCCCATAGTAATGTTTAAAATCTAATAACAATGACATGAATGATATTTTTGCTATTCTAAAATCCAAAATCTAATAGCAATAAACTGATTAACACTTTTGCTAAATTAAAATGCCTAAATGATCAGCTCATCTCTTTAGTAATATCTACAATCTAATACCAATAGATTGATATTTTGGCTATAATAAACTATCTAAATGAGTAGCCCATCCCATAAATAACATCTAAAATCTATAAGTAATAAAATGAATAATATACTATTCTAAGATGCTTAAAAGATCATCTCATCTCATAAGTCAGTCAGTCAGTTAAGTGACATGCATGATACACATTTAAGCAATCATGTCTCTGTTGATTTATGACTAACTAAGCAGATTTTCCTACAGTAAGCAAATCATTTCTTTCTGCACTAGACTGGTTGCCATCCAAGGCTATAGGTAGGTTCCAGTCTTTCCTACTATTTAACACATAGATGTGGGTAGAAGAGATAGATTCATAATTTTTCCAAGTGTATTTGCATCCCTTTTCCAAGAGTATTTGACTGGAATTCAAACTTGGCTGTCTAATTTTTCATTCTAAGTCATTGTTCATTGTACCACAATACATATCCCATCTTATAAGTAATGACTAAAATTTAATAGCAGTAAATTGAATGATATTTTTTACTATACTGAAATATCTAAATGATCAACTCAATATATAAGTAATATCTAAAATCTAATTGTAATAAATTGAATACTATACTTTTAATATATTAAAGCACCTAAATGTTCATCTATTAGTAATGTCTAAAATCTTATAGCAATAAAGTGAATGATATTTTTGCTATACCACTATGATCAACACAACACAAAAGTGATGTCCAATGTGTAATAGCAATAAAGTGAATATTTTGGCTATAAGAAAATGCTTCAATAATAACATACAAGTGTATATGATTGTACACTTTAGTTTTAAATGTCACAAAACAATTCAACTAATCTAATTACTAACTTATCCCACTTTTGACTGAACTTGATAGAAATTAGTCTTTAGAGCATTTTTCGGCACTTTTGTGAAAGCTTCTCACCATTTTTGGACAGATTAGTTACTGGTAATGAAGAGTGGATATTTTACAAGAATATGAAACAATGCAAACAATGGTATAACAGACATAAACCTCCATCCAAAGAAAGTTTTGATACATGTTTAATGGGATTACTTTAGTATGGTCCATATTCAATGACTACCAGTCAATGTCAAATATACAGAAGATATCTTAACATTTAACATTCTGGGGGCAATTTTGTTTGCAAAGCAAAAAGTTTATCCTGCCACTGCAAGTGACTCAGATGAATGAATGATAGCATGTTTGAATTTTGCAGTTGTGTTGTCATATCCTGCTATGGCAACTGAAAATAACCATGACTGAAATTAAGTAGTGCAGTAGAGGATCATTGAAAAACAATGCAGTGGAAAAGAAAGTAGTAAATAATGTAGTGTGTTAAAGCTTAATATCAGCAACAGGAGTGTTTTAATATTGCTTGTAAAAAAAAAGAGTTTGATCAATCACAATGGTGTGGGAATTTTTCATGCTAATCCACAGACTCATAGAGCAATGATCATATTGAAGACCTTGGCTGGGAAAAAGTTCCACTCTTTCCTTTTTTTCTAGATCTTACTCCATTTGATTACCACATATTTACTTGATGAATTAATTCTTAAAAAAACACTTAAAAAAGGTGGAAACTACTCTTTATATATTCTTTTACTCAAAATTCCAAAACTTTTACAAAAATGACATTATGAAGCTTGTGGTGGTTATTGATAATAATGGAAATTATATGAAACAATAAATTTTAATTAAAACAAGAATTTTTTATATTTTAAGCTAAATTTGGATATTACTTGAATAATTTCTAAAGAATTAATGGACACCCATTAATTCTTTAGAAACTGTTTACGTTTCCGACAGGAAACTGAGCAGATATGACTTTTAAGAAAATCTGAACGAGTGAATGTGCTTTAAGGCAAATAAAACCTTGCTTGACTTTAAATCTCTCTGTAGCCAAGCGATCAAAGAACACTGGATCAGATGGTGTTTTCTCCTGCAAATGGAGACACAGATTTGAATCCTGTCAGAGAGTACAGTTTCTTTAAGTTTTCTTAGATGTACAAGCCGGTAGATGAAATAAACATGGTTTAAAAAATACTGAGCATTTACTCAAATATAGCTATCCACTAAAAATAACATTTGAAATAATACTTCATTTAATAAGTAAAATAACAACCAAGGAGTAGAAAAAAAAGGAACTCATTTTATTTCCTTTCAAATGGAATAAAGAATTAGAATGGTTAAAAAAAATTGGCACAGATGTAAATTCTAAAATTTGGTGACCATTCAAACCTGTATGAAAAATTAAATACTAGCAAATCTTTTTTAACTTTCTGTATATTTGTGTTGCAAAACCCTAACACAAATTCTTAGACATTGGCACCCCTGTCTTTTACAACACACAAAGCTGAAGAATCAAGATAAAGTGTAATGTAAAAGAGAATGGGAGACCATTACTGCTATAAATGTGACTTTTTTATATTCTTTTCTTTCATCTTTAAATATAAAATTCCTTCTCTGGAGGAAAAAAAAAAAAAAAGAGAGTGAGAGAGATAGAGCAAAAAGTTAGAATGAGATAGAATTAGAGAGAAGGATGTGGGGTAAGAAAATGTGTAGAAAGGCCAAGAAGGGAGAAGAGAAGCAAGACAGAGAAAAATAGGAAAGGTGGAGGAAGATCAAGAAAGAAAGTGGGAGGAGAAAGAGAGAAGAACAGAGTAATAGATGAGAGCAGTATAACAAGAATTAAGAAAGTAAATTGTAAGTTGAAAATGGTTGGGAATAGATAAAAATTAAAAAGTGTTGAAAATGGAAAACATTTTTTTTTTTAAATTTTGATTCTTTTTATTTATTTTTTTTACTTTCTTGAAATGTAAAATTTAAACAAGACAGGATTTATAAGAGAAATTAAAATTGTCAATTAATATTTTTCTATTGTTTACTTTTATTTATTTATTGTTTTTGTATGAATAATAATAACAATGATGATGATGATGATGATACAATAAAAACCACAAAGAACAAATATAAACTATAGTGTAAAATAGATATAAAATAAGAAATTAGAAAAAAGAAAAGCGTAGGGGGGGGGGAAAGGGCTGAATCTTGTTCCATTTCTCTGCACATTGGCCCAACATGAAGAACAAGTGGAAATCCAAGAACTATGTAGAGAATCTATGCCACTGATGGTGAAAAAGAAAGGAGAAAGAGAGAGAGAGAGAGAGAGAGAGAGAGAGAGAGAGAGAGAGACTACAGTGCCGGTAGCACAACACATCTCTTCACACACATATTGATATACAGTTATATACATTTTAATACTAACCCATCCCCACCTCTGCCATCATTGGATTTGGCCCAGATCTGTCAGCCTTCCTGCCTCCTGGTTTTCTGGTAATCTGTAGGTCAGGCCAGGACAGGGAAAGAGGTAGTGTGTGGGTGGTAGAAAAAGAGAGACAGAAGTAGAAAGAAAGTTGATGAGAAGACAGGAGAAAGAGGCTGAAGAGATATGATGGGGGGATAGGAATAGGGTAGGTGTGGTGGAAGCGAAAAAGAAAGAAGGGAAAGGTAGGAATAAAAGTGTGTTTTATGGAGAACAAGGGAAAGACATAGAGAATGGGAAGAACAGAGAAGAAAAGAAACCAGGGTGGGGGAATCTAGGGTGTGTGCATAGGAAACCTGTAGAGATTTAAGGGTATCTACCTCCACCCCTCACTGAATGGGGAATAGTTGGGACAGGAGGTGCTCATATGGAAAGGAAGTAAGAACAGACTTTAGTAAACCAGCAGAGAATGTTGAAAAAGACAAGAAAAAAGAATAACAACACAAAAGAAAGAAAGAAAGAAAGAAAGAAAGAAAGAAAGAAAGAAAGAAAGAAGGGCAGCCCATGAATAAAATAAAAGATGCCTGTTGGGTGGAAACAGAGAAAGGAGTTGTTGGGGAAGACAAAAGGAATTGGAACTGACTGGGTAAGAAAGGAAATGGTAGATAAAGAAAGTTCAGACAGTTGAGATAATGGGAAGGGGTGAGGAAGAACGGTGGGGAGCCGATTGAATTGGGTGTGGCGGTGATGATGTAGAAGAAACTAAGACAGACATGATAAGGAGTGAAAAAAGTGGGAGTGGGGACAGAAAAAGTAGTGAGAGTGAAAGTAAAAGAGTGATGAAGAACAAAGAGAGACAGAGAGAGAGAGAGAAGGGGGGGGCGTAGAAAGAAAAAGATAATAGAGTAAGGAGAGAAAAGAGACTGAAAAAGTTTTTAAGGAAGGTTAAGAAGAGTAAAAAAGTAATACTGGTCAGTGAGTGGTGAAGATAATACCATTTCAACCAAGAGATGGTAACAACAATGAGACAACTTGAACTGATAAGTATAGACTCCTAACCACCAATCCAAAATGAAAAAATACCCAACATCCTTCTTTCATTATCTAAGCAAAAAAGGATAGGCCAATCCTGGCAGTAGGTCATCCTGCAAAAATGGCTGACTATTCAACAATAGAAGCAGCTTAACATTCTTTCAAGGGGTGGAGAAGGAATAGAAAGTTATGCTAACGGAATTGGACTACCATAAAAAAGACAAGACACCCATCTGTGCTTTACTTTATTTAAAACAATGAACATCAGTCATATATGCTTAAGCTTAGTATGTAAGCCAAATAGTATATATTTTTCAATAATTTATGATAACAACCATCAGCAGCATCATACTGATAAAATATTGCTACTTCTGTAAAAATTGAAATGATTAACATTTAAATCTCTTAAAATATCCAATTTTATAAATGGATCAAGAAACAATTGTTTAAACTTTAATTTAATTAAACTGAACTATAAAAATTAAATTAGTTATTAGTACCTCTTTGTGAATTCTAAAAAACAAAATAAAATTTATAGTCCTTCAAATCACAAACAGAATAAGAGAAGAATCCTAAGTCTTATCTTTGATATGAAATATGAAACTCATTGGAAAAGATTGTTTTCTAATAGTTTTTAAAATGAAATGTGGCCCAAAAGCTCACACTCTTTTTCTAACCAGTGAGTGAATCAAGTGAAAACTTGTGGTCTCCTCTTTCTCTATCTAATATATGTAAATATTCAGATATAAAAATACATCTGTAAAATAGGTACCGCTTAAGACTTTCTAAAAAAAAAAAAAAAACAAACGAAAAATGCATTTTTAAATAATAAATGCCTTCTTTGAACTTAAATTTCAGTTCTTTTTGAAAGATAAAGTAACGGCCTAACATGCTCATCCAAATTTATAAGAAAAATTAATTTCCGTATATAAATAAACTTTTAGGTATTTTTAAAGCACTGACACTTTTATCATCACTCATTGAATTGCCATTGTATATGAAAAATGTAAACAACAAATTTTTTAAATTCAATATTTGTACTAGAGATGTTTTTCGAAGTCTATTAGTAAATTAAATTTAAGGATTAATTTAACTGGATTTTCTACAAGTAATACATAACTTAATAAAATGTTATTTTCATTCTGTTTAACTAAAAACAATGAAAATGACATTTTATTTATGCACAGTAGCCTGTGAGGTCAAAGGACATAATAGAAATACTGTAATTCTACCCCTGTGCAAAAAAAGCTCACAGAACAGTAAAAATAAAACCTATAGAAATGTGGATGACCAGCAGTGCAATAAGAGTTTGTTATTTATGTTCAAAACTAAATTTTCTTTAACCTTATATACCCAATAGTTTAGAAATATAATTTTTTATTCTATATGCTTTTATTAGATTTAATGAATAAATTTGAAGGCATTAAAGTGCTACCTAAACAAAAATATAGCGTAAATGTAATTTGCATTAGATTAATGAATGTGAAAAAAGAATGTTTATTCTAAAAGTAAATTTTAGAAAAATTAGAGTATTCTTGTATGTGAATTAAATGTTTTTTGTACATCCATACCAAAAATAATCTAACAGTTGATAAAAGGAAAAAAATAAAATAAAATTCCTTTAAAAAAAGTTCACACTTGAAAACGGCATTGAACTTTACATTTGTTGATTCTTCAAATGTCTTTATTTAATAAACAAAACTCTTTTGACAAACAACAATGGGATTAATTTCAAAATTGCACTGAAAAATTACAAGCAATCATTTTATAAATAAATAAATGTAGCTTATTCTTTTCTGTCAATCTATAAGAAAATAATGCTTTTTATTCAATTATGGAAGCACCAATTCTCAAAGAAAACAATTTCTTGAGTTTTATCTAATTATTTTGGTAAGATGCAGGACAAATTTTCCATATGTTCACACTTGATATTACATAATTTTTTTTACTGAAATAATATTGTCAGGCATTTTTTCTTTAACTGTAAAAAAATTGGATGAACATTCCAAATTAAAAAGTATATAAAAGATATAGAAAAGCAGTGGGTGCAACATATCCCTTAAAAAATATTACTCCAAAATTTTTAATAAAAAAAAAACTATTTGGCAAAAAATTAATTCATTGGTGAATAAGTACTGAAAGTTTCATTTGAATCAGATAGTTCCCTGATTTTTGGCAAATATTTTAAAATGAGATAGTGATTTTTTGCTTTCATTTCAGAAAAAAAGAAGCTGTTTTGGTGGTACCTAATAAAAAGACAATTTGTCTATTCCTAAGCTCTCTATCTTTTCATATCTATTTATCTATCTATCCTTCAGTGATTGGCTATACAACAGGCTTGCAATTAAATATTTTGACTACAACTATTTTTGTTTATTGAAATATTTTTAAACAATCAATTCTTTGTCTAAATAATGAACTGAAGGAAATCAGAATGAAAAATGAAATTAACATGATTGTTCATTGGAGTGCTAAGAAACAGACAAACATTCTATTATATCACTTCAAAATGTCTATAAAACAAATATCAAGTTTTGATAAGTTATATTTATAATATTTTAGTAATGAATTAACTAAATTATGTTATGTAGCAACCAGTACAATTCTACATATTGACAATGTATGTGTGTGTGTGTGTGTGTGTGTGTGTGTGTGTGTGCAAGTACTTACAAAGAGGTGCAGAAAAGTTATCAGCCTGACCAAAAAGGGATTCCAAATAAAATTCTGATATTTGGACATTTGATCAGATTTTGGGTAGTGGGTCAGGTCAAAAATTTTTTTCAGTACCCTCTCATAAAAGTTTTCAGCCAAAACTCCTTCCCAAAATCTAGTGTTATTTTTTCATTGTATCTGTGCAGAATATTCTTTGATATTGTAAAATGCCAAATTTGCATTGATTTTTTAATTTGTTTCAGATTTATATCAAAAGAAAATGTGAAATTTTCAAGTGATGAATTCAGAGCCATCTTGAAATTTCCTACTTGTGCAGATGAAAATTCCAGAGGTAATTTAATGAGTGCATGATGCAAAATTTTGGGTGACAAGAGCTTATCATATCCAAATTAGGGTTAATCAAACTTTCAGAGATTTTGAGATTCAAGGTGCACTCTGGTATATAGGGGGCCTTTATATTGTTGATCATATTCATGACCTAATTTTGGCTGATTGACAAATCTTGGCCAGAAGAGTTGCTGAGACACAGAAATGGATATCCAAAGAATATGTTTGATTTATAATTCAGGATTAATTGCGTATGCAGAAGTTGTCAGTCAAGTGAGTGTCAAAATGTTTGAGTGATGACCAAAAAACAAAATCAGGGGAACATATCCAAATTGATTTTGCAGCATTTATAGCAATCTAGTGATCATTTTTTTAAATTGACTTGTCAGTATTAATGAAACATGGTTACAACATGATGATTGGAAAACAGTCAATACAGTAGTAACACTTTAGTTCTTCATAGACAAAGAAATCCAAGAATTAAAAGAAAAACTATGACCACAGTTTTTAGAATAAGGAAAGTATTTTTCAGAAGAGCAAAAATAGTTAATACATAATATTACTTTTGTGCTGGGTAAAGGAGGTGTTGAAATAAATAGCAGCAAGGTATTCTCTTTTTGCAAAACAGTATATCCACTAACAGGTATGGAAAGATGATAAATGTTTTAAAGAATCATGAATTTGAGTTTACAGACTATCAACCCAGCTGACCAGATCTTGCATCATTTGACTATTTCCTGTTTCCAAAACTAAATAGGAGTTTGAAAGGAAACATATTTTTCAATGACTCAGAGGTGAAGCCAACAGACCAAATATCAGAATGATTTTGGAAGGGTTAAGGAAACTTGACAAATGATCAAGTGAGTTGAACTGAATATGTAAAAGAGTATGCACATTTTATGTTTCTAGGTCCCTTTTTAGTAGGGACCAAGAATAGTTCAGCATCACTCCCATGTGTTTGTGTGTGTTGTGTGTACACACACACACACATATATATATATATATAAACACACATATATATATATATATATAAACACACACACACACACACACATATATATATATATATATATATATATATATATATATATATATATATGAATAAACTGTAAAAATGAAATCAACACCAAAAAGACATGCTTGTAAGTTTGTTGTGTAATATGAGATTTTCAAAAAATATGGTTGATTTTATGAATATTTTGGTATCTCTATATCAGGCATTATCAACCAGGGGTTACCCCAGGGGGTAATTTCAGGGTTTCAAAGTGGGGGGGAGTGAATCCTACTTTTTCTTATGTTTTATTTACAGAATTTGGAGACCATTATCAATGTCAACAAAACCTGCTCTATAAAAATAATTCATGCAAATGTATATGTACTAATATGGAAAAGAAATGAATATTTTCAATAATATATGCATATTATTTGGAATGCACCTTTTGAGTTGGACAATCTTGAAAAGATGGGGTGGGGGAATGACATTCTGATATATTGTGGAAAGGATGCATTGAACCAAAAATGTTGAGAACCACTGATATTAGTAGATATTTATATTTTGTAGGTGCCAAGGATTTGAGAAATATAAACAAGCTGACTTCATAGTTTTCCTCACAAATAAGCTGGTAATAACTAGAATCACTAACATAACATCAGAAATGTATGTGGATAACAATAGTGTTAGCAAAATTTTATTTTAACAAAAATCAAGATTTTTTTTAATAAAGAAATATCCAACATAAGAGTGTTCATTTTTATAATCCTTGGTGAAAATAAATATTTTATAAAACAGTTCCAAATGAAATGAGTATATTTTTCCTTGTTTTTGTATTTATCTACCACATTGTTATGTCAGTCCTAGAAATTTCAGTTGTGCTAATTCAGGTTTACTTGATCTTCCACCCCAAATAAGGCAACATCATTTTCATTAGTCTGTCAATTTCAAAGGATCCAAGAAGATTGATATGACCCAATTTTTATCATTTTTTTTTTGGGGGGGTAAGGGGGAGTTTTCTATGGTTAAAAGAAATCTGACTTATACCCTATTAACTAGAGTATTTTTCCTGCCCTATTTTTATCTGTAATTTTAATAGTGATTAAACAAAAAAGAAACAATCTACCATATCTGGATTTAGGTTGAACTTTGTATGAACTTAACATTTTCTCATTTGGTAAAAATCAAAGTTTACTGATGAAAATATTAAGGTTTATTTTAATCAATGATTAAATATTATAAAATTCTTCACTCAAAATCAAATTAAAATATCACTTTTAGTAATGAACATATTTATTAGATAGGTTTACCATAATTTCCAAGTTTCAAACTGGAGCCATTTTTAATTTTTATTATAGGTTTTGTTATGTATAATAAAGTCACTAAGTATGTCTTATAATAAAGTCACTAGTAATCCCATGACCCAACAACACCAGAGACAGACTCCAAAAACTTAAGTCAAAATGGTATGAACATAATCTTAGGAAAATCTGGTTTTTAATTGTGGCTATAACATTTGTATTTTTTAATGTCATTGACAGATATTGGTGTTTACTTGATAGATTCAATTTTAATTTGTCTTAAGATATTATGAAACTATTTAGTTATGATAAATTATTAAAACAAAAATATTCTTAAATTGATTTAGCCAAAATAATATTTAAGTGAAAACTGATTTAAACTAACGCTGTAAGTCTAAAATGTTAAAGAAAATATCAGTTTGTTTCATCAGAAAAACTAAAACATCAGCTGAAATGTTATATTAATTTGTTTGTATCAACTGCTGTAATTATAGTATGTCTTATAAATATTTCTACTCTTTCCCTAACAAACTTGATTGTCAGAAGTTAACTTCTTACTCATAAATTCATGAATGATTCCAGTAGAATGAAAGACAAGTTGCTATACAATGACAATAAGTAATGTTTAAGGTCACACTTTTGAGAAGGTTCAAATATAGTTACCCTAACCAATGTTTAGAGGATTTTCCCAAGGAATAATTTTAGAAATTCTTGAAAAATTTAAGAAACTGTTGTTTCTTTTTAAATTATTCATATGTAAATCCATGAATCAATATTTACAATAATAAATAAATTTATTTACTTCTGTATTTTTAAAATACATTATTTTTGTGTTGGATTCTCTATACATTAAATTAGTAACAAATTGACAATAATACAATCATAAACTGTTGAAGAAAATTATTTTAATTGATCAAATCTCTTTTCATTAGATCTGTATTTTTAATTTTCTTTCTTTTATAAGAGAATCTCTTATAAATAACTCAACAGCTTTTAGGTGAGAGATTATTTTCACCCTCTCCAAATGTTCTAAACATTAAACATCATCCCTACAGTTTTGTTTTCTGTTATGTTTGGTAACAGGACAAAATCCCAGCATCTTATCCTAAAAGTGGACAAAATCCCAGTTTCATAAATAAAAATCTCATATCTAAAAAGAAACAAATTTAACATTGAAAATTCAATGGAATTTTAATGTCAAATTGAAACAATAATTACAATATCTAATATACACACTTATATATACAATATCCACAAATTTATGCTCCCTTTATATATACATAATTATGAATGATCACTTGAAATGAATGACTATGGATATATGTATATGTTGTAGAGTAGTTTCACAGTGGAGGCTTGTATTTGTACTAAAATAGGTTCGACATACAAAACCTTAGGAACTTGATATAATAGGTAATGACGCAGAGAAATCTCGTTGTGGTGGCTGATACTTTAATATCCGACTAACGGTCATCTGACATCGACTGACCAACGATATTTAGTCACAAACGAGGGCATCATGTGGCACAAGGCCGGTTTAACATGGGATCTCCGAGCCCGTGGGCTTGGCCAAAAATATGCCCATTGAACCCATATAAACAGGTTTAGGGTCGGTTTACCTCCCCGAAAGAGAATCCGCCTTTCGGCGGAGCCTCTTTCAGGTTCCTCCCCGCCTGAAGGCAGAGAGTTCAACCGATCAGCCAGTCGACTGATTGACCAACTCCCTGAGCGACTTCCTACTACTCCTACTTATTATAGGTGGGAGAGTCTATTAACAAAAGAATAGGTGTGTTCCACTTATAACAGTATATGCTATCTTGGTATAAGTTAATATGATAACAGGCAAATGGCCTTTACATCTAATCACAAAAACCAACCACTTATCCCAAAAAGTGGACAAAATCCTAGTTTTATATAAAATTAATTATCTTATATAAGAGAGAGATTTTGTCCACTGGGTTTGTTGTATTTACTACATGTAGTGAAATATCAGGATCTTTTGTGTCCTCTTACTTCAAGTGATTGGCCATAAAAAAAAAGAAATTCAATTTTGGGGATTTCATATTTTTACAAGAATTCAAATATTTGAAAGAATTTAGCATTATCCTTTGGTGTGGGATTTATTTACTCTAAATACAAATTAAATCAAAATTCTATATACAAACAAACAAAAAAAAGTCACAACTATTTTAGATGCAAAATTGTCTTGTAGCAATATGTTGTGTCAGCAAGTAAACTATTTTTAAATGAGTTTTGAAGCAATCTTCACTATAGAAGCAATCCGTATCTTTATTATGTAAACTTTTGTATCCGTTAATTCAAAATAGTTTTCAGTATCCACATGGTATTATGTAAAGCTTTTTCTATACATCTATTTTTAAGAGTAAATTCAGATCAGAGGAGGATTCTTCAGAAGAAATCAAATATGGAAACCCAGGATGGTACAATTGTACAATTGGAGAACTGCAAACTAGTAAATAATGATGTATAATTTAAAATTAAAAAAAAAAAATGGAAAAAAAAACCTTACTGGTTTATATAGCAGATGACATGTTGTGTGAAGAACATGTTACAGATGTGTACAGTTTGGTGAACAGGTCAGGCCATGAATGAGAGGGGGATGAACAAAGTTTGGTGAATGGGTTAAGGCTGTGGATGAGGAGGATTACTAATTCCAATTCCTTGGATGTGGACATAGGTTACAGACATGAAAATAGAATCAAATTTTCAATTTTGGTATTTGACATACAACTAGTCATAAAAACAGGAACTTGGCTATGCATTTCTGAATTCTCAACCGGGATGAGATCATGAAAAGACTTGCTCTAGTTCTGACCCACTTTTCTTATACATTCATATAAATAACATGTAACCATAGACATAAGATGCCTTTACCATGCAATTATGGTTAGCAAGTTCATCTTGCAAAACAATTTGCCAGCACAGTTCAATTTTCATTGGATTCTTACCGCTAGGGCCTTATGCCAGACTAATAAGTTTAATAAGTACACATATAAAAACATTTTTGCAATTAATCTTTAACAGTATTTTCTGGTAGGGTTTATTTCATATTAAGTTGCTTGTGTGTTTATTTTTTTTTTTTCATGTGTACTACTACTACTATTTACTTTAATTTTATTCTTTATTTTTTTCTTTCATTCTCTTTATTAAATTCTTTATAAAAGAGCACCCTAAATCATTTTTAGTCACATTCTTCAAGAGACTATACAAATAAACAAAATATTAACAAAAAATACCTTTGGCAAACATGAACTTAGGACTGTGCCAAAAAAATTAAGTGTCAAAAATACATTTTTTTCCTCTTGACACCACTATTATTGCTTCTGCAGTAATTTTTATTGCTTTTTAAAAAAGTTATTTTTAGAATTTTAATAAAACCATCACATGAAACTAGATATTTTTTTCTCAAAGAATTGACAACAACAATGTTAAAACTTTAATAATTAAGTTGTTTATTTACAAGATTATTCTGTAATTGGCCATATCTAGAACAAAAAATTAAATTTTTGGTTTTGATTTTGGTTATGTCTTAAACATTTTTAAAAAATATTTGCCACATTCCTATTTTATGGTTTTATTAAAATTCTAAAAATAGTTTTTTTTAAAACAAAATTATCAATCAGTAAGAGCAGTGTCAAAAGAAAAACATCCTTTTGCCACACCCTTTTCTTTTACCTGCTTCTAAATTAAACTTTTGCCACACTTTTTTATATCAATTATTTATAGACAATATTTTTAATGATTTATCAACATATATATTTCCTACACACACACAAATGTTTATGTATAGATATACATTTTAGCGAAATCTGTGACAAAATGGAAAAAGTTTTTGCATGATGCATTTCATCCTTGTTTTTGATATACAAAAATTTATATATCATTTTTCTATAGCCATACATAAAACAATCAAATAAATCAAGTGCTTTTATAGAATTTTTTTACAAGGAAACTTATGTGGCCTTCATAGACAGAGTTTAATTTATTTACAAAATAAAGGTTATAATCATGAAGTTGCAGCTGAAGCTTTAATGAGCTCCAGAGAATAAACAATCTTAAACAATCTTGGACAAGTTACCAAATAAGAAATAGCAGTTTCATTTAACAGATATAAAATGACAAATTACTATTTTTTTTCCTTCCATTCTATTTACAAATTCTCCAAGAAGTAATTAACAATTTCCTTTTAGAGTTAATATGGTGAATAATAGATGAAACATGTCAACTCCAATTTCAATGAAATAACTGCTCATACCATTTCTAATATCAACAACTAAAGACTTATTAATATTTTTGTTCATTTTATTCATAATAAACAAAACTGTGACTATGAGTGTCTCATTTCTCTACCAGATTAAAAGTGAATTGAATGAAATAAAATCATCCTACCATATGGATACTGAAAACTATTTTGAATTAATGGATACCAAATTAACTATTTAGTATATATGCATAAATACTTAACAATAACTGTGTGTATATAGATGTGACTATAGACATGAATCTGTATACATGTAAACAGATATACACAATATTCTGTATTTTATCAGCTGGTCACATAAAAATGGTCCTAACCAAACAAATTTATCAAAGGAGAATCTGTATAGAATTCAATTGTTAGAACAGTAGACAGAATGGAATTATGTTCACTAAATTCTTTGCTAACAAATGCAGTGATCTAAATTAAAGCAATATTAAATTCAACCACTAAAATTTAATGTCCCACCCTAACCTATGTCCCATAAAGCATTTTTACTGCCAATTGATTATATGCTTTCTTTGATAAGAACTGTTTTCTTAATTCCAAATATAGAACAAAAGGAAACAAGATCAATATTACAGAGAGTGATATAAAGTGATATTAAATATGTCTGATAATCTTTGTTGTAAGCTTAATGAGGCTCACTACAAAAAAAATACTTTGCTGTCTGGTTGTCAATCCTTAGAAAAGAAATACCACACATTTTGCTGTTTTTACTTGCGAGAATTAGGAGAGAAGAGACAGTCTGTAAAATTAAATACTCATTTCTGAGTCAACCATCATGGCATACCAGTGAGAAAACCATCATCAAAATGACTAATATGCAGATAGTGGGATTCAGGCATTTTCAAAAAGTTTTAGTGTGAAAAAGACATAAATTTTGGTTGGCAACAAAAATTCAAGTTTGATTTACTGATTCAAAATTTATTCCAATATTCTGTCCTCTTTTGTACATAGAAATTCTCTTATAACCACAAAGTATAGATCATTGTCATCAGAGCTGTTTCAACTTTAATGCTTACTGCAAATCAGTGTGAGTTCTCGCATGGCTTCTTGCTTCCAAGCATGTCCATCTGCTCAGGCCCATTTGTTTTGTGGAGCCAACCTGTGATTTATACTGCAACTATACTAAGCTTAGTTACAGTTCAAGTATGTGCATCACCAGAGCCATATATGATTTGGGATTCAGAGTTGTCCTTCTCCTATACTAGTTGCCAACAATGACTAGATAGTCTGTCCTGTTATTTAACCCATATTTGAGGGTAGAAAAGATACCTTTCTTAAGGGTATTTGTGCAAAAGTGAATGTAATGATGTCAATCAAAATTTGAACTCAGTTTTCTAATTTCTCATTCCAAATCACTAAGCATTACACCACCTGTACAGCAACAAGTAGGATCAGAGCTTTATATTTATTTAATGTGATATACCAGTTCTTTTACATTCCAATATTCAAGCAATACATGCTATGTTTGCATTGTATACAGTTTGTTTACTAAAAAGCATCCCAGACAAAGAAGGCTTTTCAATAAAAAAAGCCAGCAGTTTTTGAGATTTTAATAATATAGAAACACTATTTAAATACATTATCCCAACTTGATAGGTCAAAGGTTTACAAAATTTTCTTATGGATAATGAATCTCATTAACTTGACATCAATAATCTAAGTCTCAGACCTTGGGGTTTTCAGTATTGTGCTTTATCACTGAGCCATTGCAAATTGTTCAGAATTATCCCACCCCACCTCCTGCATTTTGAATGAAACATCTCAACCGCTTATCATGCAACCTCATTTTGGATTTGAATATTTTACTCACTTCTATCTATTGCCTTGCTTTATCATCTGAGATAAAATCCTACAGAAAAGAATTATCATTATTAAAAAGTTGAGATGCTATAAATACTGCTTCAAGATAATGAACTTGGTATTAAGGTTTCAATCTTAGATCTTGTGGCATTAATGTGGAGCCTCACCATTTAGCTATTACGCTGGGACAAAATTTCTCCAGACTTATTGTTAAAAAGATTTTCTGTTGAACTTTGCTTCTCAACATAGAGAAATGGTGTGTGATAAGGGTGGACAATGTAGAAATGGGCAGTGAATATGCTAGGGTTGATTGCATCTAAAATATCAAAAGACATGATTATGACTTGAGGTTGTGGTGGTGGGGGGTGGATTGAAAGTCAGCCATTTTGATTGTGTAAATGGCATAATCACCCAAAAGCAATGATAACAGAAGACACTGGTGCCACTGTAGGCAACTAAATTTGGTTTCTTCAGATGAACAGTCATTAAATATTCCTGTTCTTCCAAGTTTTATATTTTCTAATTGAAGGTTCATCATTCATTTGGTGGGTTTTCTCTTTTGAAATTATTGACAGTATTAATATAAAAATCAAAGTTGTATGGAAAGTATTGAAAAGTTAAGATTTAGAAAGAACACAATAATATTGCCATGTTTGTATTTATTGTATAGTAAAATTTTTAGAGAGTCAAAATGCACAATAAACTTATAATAATCCTGAATGCCAGGTAAAAAAATATAAAATAGCTAAGGTAACAGAATTTGTTTTAGATACTAAAATTCACCCAATACAAAGCTCAAGGGCCACTTAATTTACAGAGTTATTATTAAAATAAAAATAATAAATAAGGTATATGATATGAATGAAAGAAAAGGTGTTAAGAAGTGAATATTTGAGGATAAGAAGGACAGATAATGATTGGCCCTTAACTTGAAGTACTTTGTGTTTGTTGACATAAATAAATTAATATCAGTGTGACGTGTGGACTGCTTTGTCATGCAGTGTGAAAAAGAATGTCGTGGTGCTGTTTGGCCCGTATTTATATTGTTTTACATTCACTGGGTTTTCATTCGGTGAATTACTTTCATTGGTCCCGTCTCTTTGGTCGTTCTCTTCTCTCTAAATGTCACCCCCCTCCTGTGACCACATGGCCTATGAGTTGTAGTCACTTGATGGGATGGATAATCGTGTATCGGACCCCGCATTTGTGGAGATAACGATCTAGGTGGTCGTGATACTCTTGTGCTCCATCGTAGATCCTGAGTCACAGGTGGTGGGGTGTGTTCGGTTGCGGACTGACATTCATCCACTTCAAATGTGGTTCTCGATTTCTTCATTGCCTTCTGCTTCTTCTATTTCTTTCTGGTATGGTGTGTGGTAATTCTTCATTATCTAATGGGCTTTGCTGATGTGGTTGTGGTGTTTGGTATTCTGGTCCCTGTACCATCGGTACTATTCTTCGGAGTAATCAATGATTACACAGTGGAGTTGTTCAAGTGGGCGACTATGTATGTTGTAATGTTCTTGGTTTCGCAAGTGTTTCTTTGACATTGCTTTTTCTCTCAGTTCCTTGATCTCTTTCCAACACCTATGTATTTTGTACTTCTTA